ACGTAAATAGAATACTCTGTTTTTTTTGATAATTTCTGTTTTTGCTTTATACTCTTTTTTCACCTATTAAGTTCAAATTTCAAATTTAAAAAGTTTGAATTATAAACATTAAATATTTCTCCCAATAGATATAATAAATAATATTTTATTTTATAGTGATTAAATTTGTATATCTTATTTTATACAAAATGGTAGATGTAACTTTTTTTTATTAATTATACATATTATTCGAAAAATTAATTTTTTTCTCTTTTAATTTATAATTTTTAGATTATATATACATATATATTTTTAAAATATTTATGATAATTGTTTTTAAGAAAATGAGGAAGATATTTTATAGATATTAAAATTTAAAGTTTAAATTAGTTAGTTTTTGTTTGAGTCAAATTTAGAATTTAAATTTTAAAATACAAATCAAGCGTTCAAAAAACAGTTAATTTTTTGTTTTTAAATTAGACGCTCGAAATCCTTTTTATCCTTTTTAAACAGATATTAAAATTTAAAGTTTAAATTAGTTAGTTTTTGTTTGAGTCAAATTTAGAATTTAAATTTTAAAAATACAAATCAAGCGTTCAAAAAATAGTTAATTTTTTGTTTTTAAATTAGACGGTCGAAATCCTTTTTATCCTTTTTAAACAGATATTAAAATTTAAAGTTTAAATTAGATAGGGGTGGCAATTCGTGTTCATGGGTCGGGTTCGGGTCAACTTGGGTCTGACACGAACACGAATAGGCTCAACCCGAACACAACACGATTAACAATTCGTGTTATAAAACTCAACCCGAACACGACCTGTTGATTAAATGGGTTGACACGAAGTTGACCCAACTCTATTAGCACCCTCAACATTTGCATCTTGAACATCAACCTCCTGCTCCATCATTTCAATGCTATTTTGTGATTCAAAATCCATCTACATATACAAATGATGACAATAATATAAATAAAAAAGTATATAAAAAATAAAACCCAAGTAACTAATAAAAAAATAACAACATACGGTGGTTACTGGCTTACTGTGTAACAAAATATTGTGATATATTTTTTGTATTTTTTAAAAAAAGAAATTTGATGCAGACTATAACTGGTTCATGTATCAATTAGGATACATTTGGAAAGGTTATGCAATTTGTCTTCTTCAATTATTTTGCATTTTTTTAATCAACTTTGATATCTAGGGGTGGCAATTTATGACACGACCCGTCAACCCGACACGAAATTTTCGTGTTCGGTCGACCCGTTTAACAAACGGGTCGTGGTCGAATTGAAGAAAAACAACACGAAAAAATTCGTGTTGGGTTACAGTTAAGTCTTTGTTCAGGTACGAATAAATTCATGTCGGGTCAACCCATCTCTGTCTGCAAACCTTATTCCACCTCAACCAAACAGGTACGAATAAATTGTTCAACACAGTTAAGTCTTTGTTTTATTATAGTCGTTGTTCATCTCTGTCTTTGCTTTCTAAGTCTCTGCTGCCCATCTCTCTCTTTGCTTTATTCAATTGGTTGAGGTGGAATAAGGTTTGCAGACAGAGATGGGCAGGAGAGAGAGATCAGTACCAGCCGATGCGTTGCGCCGCAGAGAGTGAAAAAATAACCCTAACATTTAGTTTCTATACCATGAGATAAAATGACCACAGTAACCTTATAAAATTGCGGGTAAGCAGGTTCACGGGTTGACCTGTAACCCGACACGAATTTTTTCGTGTTGTTTTTCTTCAACCCGAACACGAAAATTTCGTGTCGGGTTGACGGGTCGTGTCATAAATTGCCATCCCAAAAATTAGTTAGTTTTTGTTTGAGTCAAATTTTGAATTTAAATATTAAAAATACAAATCAAGCGTTCAAAAAAATTAATTTTTTGTTTTTAAATTAGACGCTCGAAATCTTTTTTATCCTATTTAAACAGATGTTAAAATTTAAAGTTTAAATTTGAAATAATTTAAGTCAAATTTATATGAAATGTTTTAGCTGAGAAATAAGTTTGTTGAAAAATGTTGAGAAGGAAAAGGGTGTGAAATAAGTTTGACTCACTATAAATTGTTAATATTAGGTCTTTCCAAAACAATGTGGTATAAGTTGTTTAGAATTATATGGCTATATTTTCTGACAATGATTTTTTTTTTTTTTTTTGCTTGCCACAATGAGGAAGACAATTTATAGTGAGTCAAATTTAAAGTTTAAATTAGTTAATTTTTGTTTGAGTCAAATTTAAAATTTAAAATTTAAAAATATAAACCAAGGGTTCAATAACCAGTAAATTTTTTGCTTTTAAATTAGATGCTCGAAATTCTTTTTATCCTTTTTAAAGAGATATTAAAATTTAAAGTTTAAATCAATTAGTTCTTGTTAGAGCCAAATTTAAAATTTAAAATTTAAAAATACAAAAGCGTTCAAAAAACAGTAAATATTTTGTTTTTAAATTAAACGTTCGAAATTCTTTTTAAACAAATATTAAAATTTAAAGTTTAAATTAGTTTTTTTTTTGTTTGAGTCAAATTTAGAATTTAAATTTTAAAAATACAAACCAAGCGTTCAAAACACAGTTAATTTTTGGTTTTTAAATTAGATGCTCGAAATCCTTTTTATCCTTTTTAAACATATATTAAAATTTAAAGTTTATATTAGTTAATTTTTGTTTGAGTCAAATTTAGAATTTAAATTTAAAAAATACAAACCAAGCGTTCAAAAAATAGTAAATATTTTGTTTTTAAATTAGACACTCGAAATCCTTTTTATAATTTTTAAACAGATATTAAAATTTAAAGATTAAATTAGTTAGTTTTTGTTTGAGTCAAATTTAGAATTTAAATTTTAACAATGCAAACCAAGCGTTCAAAAAATAGTTAATTTTCTGTTTTTAAATTAGAAGCTCAAAATCCTTTTAATCCTTTTTAAACAGATATTAAAATTTAAAGATTAAATTAGTTATTTTTTGTTTGAGTCAAATTTAGAATTTAAATTTTAAAAATACAAACCAAGCGTTCAAAAAACAGTATTTTTTTTTAAATTAGACAATCAAAATTCTTTTTATTCTTTTTATCCTTTTTAAATAGATATTAAAACAATAAATTTTAAATTAGTTAGTTTTTGTTTGAGTCAAATTTAGAATTTAAATTTTAAAAATACAAACCAAGCGTTTAAAAAAGCAGTAAATATTTTGTTTTTAAATTAGACGCTCAAAATCCTTTTTATCCTTTTTAAACAGATATTAAAATTTAAAGTTTAAATTAATTTTTTTTTGTTTGAGTCAAATTTAGAATTTAAATTTTAAAAATACAAACCAAGCGTTCAAACAACAGTTACTTTTTTGTTTTTAAATTAGATGCTGGAAATCCTTTTTATCCTTTTTAAACATATATTAAAATTTAAAGTTTAAATTAGTTAATTTTTGTTTGAATCAAATTTAGAATTTAAATTTAAAAAATACAAACCAAGCGTTCAAAAATTAGTAAATATTTTGTTTTTAAATTAGACACTCGAAATCCTTTTTATAATTTTTAAACAGATACTAAAATTTAAAGATTAAATTAGTTAGTTTTTGTTTGAGTCAAATTTAGAATTTAAATTTTAAAAATGCAAACCAAGCGTTCAAAAAACAATTAATTTTTTGTTTTTAAATTAGTGGCTCGAAATCCTTTTTATTCCTTTTAAACAGATATTAAAATTTAAAGTTTAAGTTTGAAATGGGTTGAGTCAAATTTATATGAAATGTTTTAGTTAAGAAATAAGTTTGTTGAAAATGTAGAGAAGGAAAAGGGTGTGAAATAAGTTTGACTCACTATAGATTGTTAATATTAGGTCTTTCCAAAAGAGTGTGGTATAAGTTGTTAAGAATTATATGGCTATATTTTCTGACAATGATTTTTTTTTTTTGCTTGCCACAATGAGGAAGATAATTTATAGTGAGTCAAATTTAAAGTTTAAATTAGTTAGTTTTTATTTGAGTCAAATTTAGAATTTATATTTTAAAAATACAAACCAAGCGTTCAAAAATCAGTTATTTTTTTGTAATTTATTTGGTCACACCTATTATTTAATTATTAATTATAACCGTTAGATTAACGGAAATCAACGATTAAGATTTGGTAGTGACAAGTAGTAAGAAAAAAAAAAAAGATAGTAAGTATAACCTCTCCCTTATATAATATACTATGTACTCAAAAGAAAATAAGGAATTTAAATAATTGCAAGGATAAAAGACATTGACAAAAAAATCGTAACAAATACTATTTGTTTTTTTAATAAAAAACCTCGATATCTTTCCCAAAATACAAATCGTAACAAACATCTTAAAGATTTTTATTTTGTTAAACTTTTTTTTGGCTAAAAGAGTTTAGAATCTTTACGACTTTTTCTAACTCCTACACTCGTGGATCATGGCTGTCATTTCAAGGATCACGAATTTACAATATATTTGAAGATGAATATCAATAACAAACAATATCCAGTATGTATGTAGACTAATTAACATGAGTTTTTTTTTTTTCCTATACAAAAAAAAAACATGAGTTTTTTTATTTATTTTTGATGTTTCTTGATATTTTTGGTCATGTTTGATGTTTCTTGATATTAGTGAATTAGAAAAAAAAATTTATAATTTGGGATCTTTGCTGATCAAGTATTCCTTATTCTTTATAATTATAAGTATGATGTTCTCTTTCCTGTTTGTTATTGATAATAGCCCCTCACAATAAAAATAAAATAAAAAATTAAATGACAACCACAAATTATTGATATATTGAAACATATTTTATATAAATGTGATATAATAAAATATAATAATAATTATTCTTATTTATAATATTTAAAGAATCTTAAATTAATATAAAAAATTAATCACATGAGATATTTCAAATTATTTTAAAATATAATTTTAATATTGTACGATATTATAATATTTTTCTTTTTTAAACCTAATTCAATCCTATAAATAATTATTCTATTCCCATCATAGACGACACGACACCACAATCACAAAAAGGAGGAGCATGGCAATGGAGAGTGAGCTCCACCATGATTTGGTTAAGGAAATTATGTTGAGGTTACCTGTGAAGTCTCTTGTTCGATTCAAATGCGTGTGCAAATCATGGCATTCTCACATCTCTGATCCTCATTTTGCAAAATCCCATTACGAGCTCTCTGCCGCACCCTCTCACAGGCTTCTCCATATAACACGTTCTGGTAAGGTAAGCTTCATTCCCCCACTTCTAAAGCGTGCTAAAGGTAAACTTATGCATACTCCTAAGATTTTGGGTTCATGCCGAGGGTTTGTCCTTATAGAAAGATATCAAAATCTTTATATTTGGAACCCATTGACAGGTTTCCACAGACACCTGTCATACTCTGACATAGGGAAACAACATCACTATCCCGCGACACTCTTAATTGGTTTTGGGTATGATCCATCCACCGATGATTATTTAATAGTTGTGTTGTGGGGTAAGTACCGCACCGTCTTTGATCATGATGATATGCAAACCAGTTTGGTGCTTTTCTCCTTCAGAACCAATTCATGGAAAGAAAGTCAACGCTCTCGTGTTCCCTATGATTATATTGACAACAACCAATCATTCCTCTTTAATGATGCTGTTCATTGGTTGGCTTGTGGTGAAAATGAACCGGACAAAGTAATTCTTGCCTTTGATTTGGTAAAAAAGAATTTCTATGAGATATCTCTACCAGATGGTGATTTCATTGATGGCTTCTATTCTTATAATTTTGTAAAGATAGGAGAATGTCTCGGTTTATGTGATGTCAGCCATAGTAAAAATCAGGTGTGGGTGATGAAAGAATATAAAGTGAAATCATCTTGGACTATGTTTGAGATTCCTGATTACCTTTCCGATGTAAGCATCGCCATAGCTGGTGAACTTGTTGTACTATGCCATGCTAATGTTGCCGAATTGATGAAATTTAATGAGAAAGGAGAACTGCTAGAACTATGCAAATATTATTGTAATGACGTGTGTGGACAGAAAATAGCTATGTATACCGAGAGTCTACTTTCACTTCCTAGGAACTCTGATTGAAGCATGGAAACACCTCAACGGAAGCCGTTCAGAAGAAACAGGCAGTTTCAAAAGAAATAATTAAGAATATTCATAAATGGCTGTAATTTCATCAATTTCTTTACGGTTATTTACCTACTTCATAGCTTAATTATGGAAACATGCATGGTTTGTTTTACTTGTTCTTATTATTGATTTTGTTTTCACGGGCTTGCTTGTCAAGTTATTATAGCATCATGTTTTCTTCAACATAACCTTTGATCTGTTGTAGCATATCGTATGTTTATTTTATGGATTTAGTGTTTTTTTTTTAAAGGATACAAAGTTATCTCATTTTAGGTGAGAGTATATACGCAATGAAAATCACGGAAGAGAAAGATAATATTCTTTTAAAAAAATTTAAAATTTAAATAAAAAATATTAAATTGTGTCTTTTTTTTCTTTTAGAAAGACACAATTATATATGTTTTAAAATTGTAAAGAACCTTGGGATATACCACCTCAAAAGGTAGCTCAGTGGGAGTGCTCAAGACCTTATAAACTCCACATTAGTTGCACATATAACCAATGTGAGACTATATATCTCAACAAAAACAATAACAATAAATATTTCCCCCTTATTTTTACAGTTAGTTATGCCGTACAATTTATAAGTCGACCAGCATCATAGAATGCGTAAAGAAATATGTGGTCTGAGAAAAGAAATAAAGGATTTTTTTATTTTTTTTTGGCCTGAATGTTGATTATGTAATCCTTACTTTAATTTGATTTTGATGCTTTTATGGAGGAAACAACAGATCAGCCACGTGGATTTGCAGTATGTCCACTTCTGATTTTCGTTTATGGAGTTTCTTTCTTCCTTATATTGCGTCCACATCGGTCACTAGGACTTTCTTGTGCTGTCTTTTTTTTTTTTGGACAAATTCGGTTTAATGATTGGTTTGTTCGAAAAACAGTGAGCGTAGTTGCTCAAGCAATATTTTTTTTAAGATAATAAATAAATAATTATGTGTTTATTTTAAATATAATTTAAATTGTATCATAATTTTAATTTATTTAAAGATTATAAATGAATATATTTATTTTAAAAATAAAATTAATTGGAGAAAATTTGTCTTGTAAAATTACTTTATATTGTAAAATGCAATTACTCTTTAACTTTTCATTGAATAATACCTTGTTTTTGTTAAGTTTATTTGCTACAATAAGAAAATTAGGCTTCCTATTTTTTTTTTTTCTTTGGTATTCATATCAATTTAATTCGGTTTAAATACAATCAAACCTATGTTGAGAACAACTCTTTCAATACCAGTGTTCTATTTGTGATCGCAATTGAGCGGGAATGTTAAAAAAAAAATGGATTTCAGTAGAGATGGAGTCGCAGATCTGTTTCTGCCTAGGGTATTTAAGCACTTTTTTTTTTTTTTTTTTTTTTTTGGGTTTCATGGTGTTCCCATAGCCACCCATTTGGCTTAAAGTGTAACGACTTTTATCATTACCTCAAAGTGTTTTTTCTAAGAATCAAATCGACGACCTTTCTGCCATAATAGTTCGCCGCTGCTAGACACAACCCACTTACCAACTATGCCATCCTTTGGGATTGTATTTAAGCACTTTTCAATAGTTCAGTTTTTTTATCAAAATAAAGTAAATAACTATTATCTATCGTTTCAATCATCTCCCATTTTAATAGCCATGCTTTTTCTAAAATAATATGGGATATATGTCTCTTCAGCGGCAGAAAAAAGAAGTTATCTGCAATAGTCACATGCTTTTCAGGATACGGTTCAGCCGTATCCTGAAAAGCATGTGTCAACTAGAGAGAGGAGAGAAGTTCTCTCTAGTAACAGGAGATTAATAGTGCCCAAACAATATAAGTATTTAGAGAAAAAGGAATGATACAGAATAAGATAAACAAGCTTGTTTATAGTATTTATGTTAATTATGAATAATTAATAATTATTTTGGTAATTTCGAAATTTTCTTATTTTAAACATATTTCTTTTTAAAATATATTTTTAATACGTCATTTACTTTTACATAAATTATTATTTGGTTAAGATTTCTCATTTAATGATGATATCAATAGTGTTTTGATTACCCACGTTATAAATATCTCCTTGAGTGTTATGTTGTTTCCTTGAGTGTTATGTTGTTCAGCTTTTAAAAATCGACTAATGATAATCAGGGAAATTTTAATCTGGAGGATTCTCTCTCTCTCTCTTTTTAGTATTAATTTGGACTATCTTCATTCAATCTCCTCCGATCACCTATATGACCCTGAAGGCTAGCCTCTCATTGGAATAACGGGTGTATTGAGCTTCGCTATCGGAGGAAGGATGAGACTAATCCCCCATTCGAGGAGAGAGGCACGTCCTCTGGCCCCCAAATTTTTTCCAAGAATTTGCTTGAGGCAGAGTTTGAACCCCTAACTCAAGCAAACCCTTGGAAGCTCAATTGCCAACTGAGCCTCCCTTGGAGGTTAATCTGGAGGATTCTCTTTTGTTTGTCGTTGGTATGGTATCCCAAATCTATCTATATTATACTAATTAAGGGGGCGTTTGGTTGAGGAGAAAATTTTTGAATACTAGGAAAATGGTTGGAAAGTGAGTTTGGTAGGAAAATGTAAAAAAAGTTGTTTGGTTGACCGAAATATTACCAGGGAAATTTATTTAAATTTGCAAAATCTATGTTCGGGAGAAACTTCGCACCTGTTTTTTTCACTTCCCCAGTTATCTCAAAATACCACATCTCAAGTGGTATTCTGTAACAGTGAATTTCATCCAAAAATCAACACAAAAGTCATTTCCCTATCTATCCTATTTGCCTAGTATTTTTTTCAAAAACCTGAACCAAACGTGGTATTTTCCAATATCCACTTACACTTTCCCAACAATCCGAAAATAAGTCTTCTACCAAAGGAAAACCATTCCTAGCAAACTTATGTGACGTGTCGCATTCTCTTTCAATATATACTTTGGGCCCGTTTGGAGCACATGATAAGGAAGATAGGATACGATAGTTTATCCTATCCTCTTTTAATCAATTGTTTGGTGAGTTCATAGGATATGAATATATGATAAGTTTATTAGGTTGGCTTATTTTATCCTGTTCAGAGGCTGATAACTTATCCTAAGGGGACCCTTGGGTTACAATCCAATAGGATAGGATAGAAAAATAAATTCATTTTATTCCAACAAAACCCTTAACCCTATCTATCATTTTTTTCTCTTTCCCCCTTTGTCACATTACTGAGGTATCACCGATATCCTTGCCACCGGTCAATTTAACCAACCCCACCTTGTCCATGACCAGAGTCTACGTCGTCGATGCCACTCCGGTGACCAAGGGCAAGAGAGACAACAACCCCAAAATCATTGTCGAGATTGATTCCACCTGACGAACTCCGAAACGACAAAGGAAGATGTGGTTGTTTGATGACTGCTATCATGTGGGTGAGGATAATGGTAAAATATGATAATGGCAGCATAAATGTTGTAAGAAGGAAAATGAAGGTTAGCTTTAGGGGTGGCAATTTGTGACACGACCCGCGAACCCGACACGAAAATTTCGTGTATGGGTCAACCCGTTTAGTAAATGGGTCGTGTTAGGGTTGGAAAAAAGTGACACGAAAAAAATCGTGTCAGGTCACGGGTCAACCCGTGAACCCACTTTGACCCGTAAAAAATCTGGTTCAATTTAAAGTTATTATACTAATTATTCCGTGGTATAAAAGGAAAAAAAAATGCCTTAGCCCTTAGGGTTTCCATTTAACAGCGCAGCTCTCGCCTCTCTGCCCCGTCTTGTCTCGTCTCTTTGCTCTCGCCTCCAGGCTCCAGCGCAACGTTAACAAGGAATCAAACGAATCAAAATCGGTATTACAGCGTTTGAGCTTGAATTTGAGTCTTCTTGTTTATTACAGCATTTAAAGTATTTTTTTTTAACACTTTGCATTGCAACTTGAGTTTGAAATGTTGAATCACAATCGGTATACCCCTTCTACACACCTTCTTCTTCTAGTTTGCATACACGTTTTCAACCACATATTGAGCTTGAAATGTTGAACACTTTACAGGTACCCTTTTCCAGTCGCGGGTTTCTAAGGAACAGCCCTGTTGAGCTTCTGTTGGTTTGTGTCGAAACCCTTCTTCTTCTTCTTCTTTTTCGTATGTAAAAATAGTTGCGACTTGGCTCTTTGGCTCTTTGTTTGTTCTCTTGAAAAGTTCAGTTGCTTCTGGGGTTCTTTGCTTTCAAGTTTTGCATTAAAATATTATAATTTTTCTGAAAAAGCTCGCCGATCTTGTCCTCTTTGTCTTCCTTGCCGTAAGGTAATTTTCTTACCTAGTGTTTTTTTTCCATCTGTGTTAAAAAAACATGTTTTTTTTATTTTTTTATTTTTGTTTTTATTTTTAATTTATCAAAGTTCATGTTTTTATGGGCATGAAACTTTTTGACAAGGAAAGGTTGAGAAATAATTGACTGGTGAATTATTCTGGTATATGATTATCGGATTAGATATGTTGTTGTTGTTGTCTCTGTTTCTTCCCCTTCCATTTTTTTTGTGTGGGTATTTGATACTGTGTTAAGTGATTTTTCTGACTTTTTGGTTATTTGGAATTGATCTGCTACTTATAACTTATCACATGAATGATGTTTGTTAAGGTTGGTGTGAAAAACTGGTTAATTTTTTTTCTCTATGAATTTTGTGGTTGTTGTTGTTGTTGTTTGGTTGATCATGGAAATGCCCTTGTTTATATCCAAATTGAAATGGTAATTTTGCTATGTAAAATTTCATTTAGTGTATCCAGTAATTTTTATATTTTCAAATCTAAAGTCCCGTCGGAAGTTCTTCTTGGCAATTATTATTAGGTAATGTTTCTAATTATATTTTATTATTATTATTATTATTATTATTATTATTATGAAAGAATCAATTCTGTTGTATAATTTCTTGCTGATCTGAAATGGTTTTTCAAGTTTGATAGTTTTTTTTGGTCTTCAAGTTTTTATGTGATAATTTC